CCCCAATGTCCCCGTACCTGCATCATTTTGACGCTCAGTGCCACCCTGAGTGCCAGCAGCCGCAGCCTCATGGGCACCATGTAGAAGTAGCTGGTGGGACCCCGGGGACCGTGGGCGATGCCCCCTGTGGGGAGGGGGCTCAGTGACCACCCCAGGGTCAGCAATGGCACCCCCAGACCCATTTCGGGGTGTCCCCATTAGGATTTTTCATTTCTATGTTTTAATGCATCTGTATTTTTGTGATTTTTTAATACGGCAGTAAAAATTACCGTTCAATTTTAGACAAAAAAATCCCTCTCTAAACCCCATTCTCTCAATTTTAGACAAAAAAATCTCTCACTTTTAAACAAAAAAATCTCTCTCTAAACCCCATTCTCTCAATTTTAGACAAAAAAATCTCTCTCTGAACCCCATTTTCTCATCTTTATGACAAAAAAATCTCTCTCTAAACCCCATTTTTCACTTTTAAACAAAAAAATCCCTCTCTAAACCCCATTTTCTCATCTTTATGACAAAAAAATCCGTTTCTAAACCCCATTCTCTCATTTTTAAACAAAAAAATCCCTCTCTAAACTCCATTCTCTCAATTTTAGACAAAAAATCTCTCTCTAAACCCCAATTTCTCATCTTTAGACAAAAAAATTCCTCTCTGAACCCCATTCTCTCACTTTCAAACAAAAAAATCTCTCTAAACCCCACTTTTGTCTCAATTTTAAACAAAGCAATCCCACTCTGAACCCCATTCTCTCATTTTTAAACAAAAAAAATCATTCTTTAAACCCCATTCTCCCACTTTTAGACAAAAAAAAATCCCTCTCTAAACCCCATTTTTCACTTTTAGACAAAAAGTTCTTCTCTAAACCCCATTCTCTCACTTTTAGATAAAAAAATCCCTCCCTAAACCTAAATCTAAAGACACCTCTCTGCCTCAGAGCCCCAAAATACGGAAACAACAGCGAATTAAGAGAAACCAAATAGAATAATTTGGATTAATTGGCATCATCACCTGTAAAAATCATTAAAAAATTAAGACCTAATATATTAATAAAGCAAAATTTATAAAAGGTGAAGATCATAACCCAATTTAAGTTAATTAATAAATTAAAAACTCACCCCCACGCCACAGGGGCGAGCGGATGGAGCTGTGGCGAGCCCTTCCCGAGCCCTTCTGGCGCCAGGGTTTGTGTCCCCCACCYCGAACCTCGGCACGGCTCTTCACCTTGGCATAGCTCTGGG